TTGTCACAGGAGCTTTGGACAGCTTTATCATGAGAAATCATCCAAACTATTGGGCTGATTGCCATAAAATTTGGCAAAACTATGTGTGTCCTTCTCAGGATCAATTTGAACTACTGTTTCATAGACTTATCATTTAGCACCATCGTTAACTCAAAATGCTTATCATTTGTCCAATAGTTCATATTTTAAATTAATATCGCTGAAACAAATTGTATTTCTACAGCAATGTCTAAATCGCTAATTAGCAAATATTAGCATGCAAGGGCTCTAAAACAGTAGATTATAAATATTATTCCTGCTATCAATCAATGTCATCCAGGCTTTAAGGTCAATGCCTTTGTACAGTGCATACAATTTAAATTGGCAGGATAAATGTTTGATCTGATTTCATGGTATCATGGTTAGTGGTGTGTGCATCAGCATGATTTACAAATCTGACATAAACCTTTAAGTTGAAAACAATAGAGAAGTTACTGGTCCTCCTCAATGAGGCGTTTGTATATTTGAAACATTTCAGTGTGGGTTTGTCTTATTGTTTCTAGACATAGCCAGCTGTGTTAAGAAAATATTGAACATTTTCCAAATAATAAATCTCTGTTCCTCAAAATTGGGTCAGATTCCAACTATCTGACCTACTTTCTCATGGAGCATACACAACTATGCATTGTTGGCAGGCCTTTAGTGGCAGCTACTCCTGACAACTCTTTAAATGTATATGGAATAAACATGATGGTCCTTGGCAGATAGAATATTTTTAATCTTACAGAAATTTGCAACGAAAATACATTTTTATGGTAGTTTTATGGACTGCTGCCCTCAGGGAAAAACCTCCAAATCTGCAGGAGACTTATGAGACTGGACGACATCCAGCAAGCCCAGAGTAGTGAGACATCATATGTGTGTTTAACCCCTAAAAGCAAAACCGGCTGCTGAATGATTGAAAGTCACGACAGACGAGCTGAGAAAATGAGCAAGAAACTGTTTCTCATTTTTCTAAAGCGGAAACTTAGCAACGTAGTTAAATGGTTGTAAATCAAAGCCTCCGAGGGTTAAATGTGTGTAACCTTTCTGACCTGCTGCTACCATTTCTTGAGTCTGCTGCTGTAAATAATGATCCTACCTGTCCTGGGAAATAAAGGGTCAAATACTAATTCATGCACATATTTGAATAAATCAAGCTAAGTGTATATTAAGCGTCTTAGCCAGAACATTGAAAGAGACATTACCCTAAGTGAACACACATGGCTTCTTAAAAGTTATTCAGGCTGCTCCAATGTTTTGCTTGTGATGCGTGTGTATGAATGTGTGTATATGTGTGTATATGTGTGTGTTTTGGCCACCTGCCCAAGGCCGATGTTGATAAAGTGTGACCACATGAGCTCCCAGTAGAGAAAAAGATGGAGAAAGGCCAGTGTATATGTATGTTTTCTCTCCCTCCCTCCCTCTCTCCCTGTCTGTATATATCTGAGGCAGCTTTTTTTTCTGTATTACTTCCTCACCTCCCTGTTCTCCCTCGCACACACTCGGAAAACACACACAGAGAGCCGTGGTTCATGTGTTCATAGTGTTCTGAGTCTTCAATTTCTAGGAATTGCTTCATACTTTCTTGGAAATTAACCCCATGTGGATCAAAGTGTACCGTAACACAGCCTGAAACAAGATACGTATATTGTTGTGATGGGGATCGCAGCATCACGGCAGGTAAATGTTGCCCACCGATAGATGTCGTATTCAAATTAAACATTTGGATTAACTCTGAGGTGCGCTTTATCTTCAACTATCACAAAAAAACACATACTTTTCCTCTTACGCAGAGAACCAGCCTGTTTTGGTTTTTGGTTTGCGGTGCTCCAAGAGTCCAAAACCTACATCCAAAAATGTCAAGATTTTGTTCCAAAAATCATGGCAGAGTTATGATAAGACAACGAACTCATATGAACACATTCATTGAGGACTGTTGTTTTTTTGTTTTTTTTGCACCTGCCAAATCGCTGACGCAAGAGGAAGAGAGAGGGGTGGATGTAAACACACTGGCTATGCTGCACTGTAATTTTGTGGTGCTATTTGTTATCGCTGTTGGTGAGCTAGTTGCAAGTTTGCAATAGCTTGCATTGTCAGAGAATGAGAAGGAAACAAAAACACAAAAACCTCAACCCCGAACTCGTTAACATTCATCGCAGTGTCGTGTCTAGTCTTGAAGTACTAGAATCCATTTGAACAAAGACAAAAGTCATCCTGAAGGAAATTAAGAAGAGAGGATGATCCCCCATATTCCCTCGTGTCCACACTCCAGAACAATCACTATGCAAAGAGGAAGTGTTGTGTAATGGTTACTTTTGATTTTTTTTCTTTATTCTATAAAGGTGTTGGTCTCAGTCCAAACATTCTCACACTGGACAGATGTTGTGGGGTGGAATTAAAGGTGCTGAATGATTCAACATGCACTTAATTGGAAGCACATACTTTAGCCTTTGCACTCCTCACATTTTTGGATAATGACGAAAAACGCAGTACTTATATTCAATCTAACGCACCTTTTGAAAAGTTTCATGTGACAAGGCTATCTACCCCTATACAGTAAGAAAAAAGGATTCAGCCTTGGTCAGCCATTGGTTCAGGAACCGTTGTTTTGAAGTTTTGAGTTTTTTGCATTTTAGTCGTCGCAGTTTTGTTGGAACCAGAATTTACCATATTTGGACAAAAGTACTGAAAATCCTCATAAGTCTAGAGACTCATACTAGCTCAGTATATTCCTAACAATCTGCAAACTGTACCCACCTCTCACTTATAGCTTTCACGCCATAAAAAATGTATAACTTGAGGTATCAATATATAAGAGTAAGTTATAAAACACATAATCCTTCTAAAGATAAAGATAAATGATGATTTCAGAATGATTAGTAAAATAGGTTTTAACCACAAAATTAAACTTTGAAATACAAAAACAAGGCTATAGGTACAGACTCTTGAATGCATTACTGTCTATAAGAGGCAGTAAAGAAAGTGTTCATAATTTACAGTACCATGGACAGTGTGGACGTTCTGTTTATTTTGGAGCAGCAGAGCACATTGCCGCAGAGTGAGGTCATGCAGCACATTGTGTATTTAGTGCGCGCTGGAATGACTTCATATATGTGATCTATGTCTTCCTTAAACATTTCTCTGTTTCTATACAGCCCCATGACAAAAAAACAAAACAGAACGACTGCTTAGATTCAAACTAACAGCCTCCGGTAAAATGATCCATTTGTGGGCAGGATACTTACATCTATAGCTCTGTGTTTAATCATGCAATAAGTGAATCTGCAGTTTGTGCACTACAGCAGAACAATAATTAGATCTAGAAAATGTTAGATCCTGACAGGTGCTATGAGTCATGGATTAAGGCTTTATGTAATGATGTTAAAGGTTGCACACACACGCACACACACACACACACGCACACGCACACACAGCTGCAAAAATTGCAAACAAAAATAAATACAATTTTATGAAATGACTGTCTCAAGGAAATAAATAATTCCTTCATAACACACAAGCGCCCAAATAAGTAATGGGCAACAAATTGTTCAAACTCTTTATCCTCCTTCAAACAAATATTTTCAACCTCTGGACAAACAGCTGTAAATATAGAGCCCTGATGATGAAAGAAATACAAGCAAAAAAATGTTGCTTGTGCTGCGAAATTTTCAAGCTGCAAACATTAGGAGCACCGCTTATCTTTTCCTGTTTCTCCTGGAAAACGGTGCAAAGGCTCCTGAGACACAACTAGGCGGGATGAAACACTTCATTACAATCTTGCATGTCATGTTCAATCACTTAGCTTCGACAAAAGTTAGACTAATGTCTTTTAGTGTCAGATAAAATCAGTGTCTTGTTGATATGGACAGTGAGTCTGTCATTAATCAAATTTCTGGCCTGGATTTAGGTTGAGGAAAAAAAAAATCAAACAATGAACACATTTCATCATGAGACTGACTGTTTTTTTTTTTTTTTGCAGTATCCTGAATTATTTAGTCCTGATCTTTGCTGCCCTCTTTTGGTCACTTTCATCTGACTTCAGACCTTTGCAGTCTACCTTTTGTCCTGTCAAACTTTTCTAAGGACCAGCTGAACATTACTGGTTGGAACATGTTTTTATTTTCTCTTTGCTGTTGGATCGAGTTTATTATGCAGCTGTAGTGACAACAAGGAGTGCAATCTTTCCAGGTTGTCATAGAGTTAAATTGTTGGGCATTCTCACATGAAGAGACCGCTATACAAACAGCACTTTCTAGGCAGAGCAGGATACAAGCGTCTGTGTAATACAGAAACCAAGAGCTGCAGTGATTGCAATCAATTTATATTATCCCTTATCTCCAGGTCACTAGCACCTCATTATAGAGAGTACAGGCTTTAATGCATGTAGGGAACAAACTAAATGAAAAATAAATCCATGTTGTGGGATGTACAGTGTTTTCGTCGTGTTCACACTACGGTTTAATCGTGCTTTTCATTTATGGCTAAATTAATGGGAATTGAATGTGTGATGTATATGGACACAATATCTCCTAAAAACATGGACCCGCCTACTGATGAAATATGGTAGCTGAGACAGGGAGTACATTGTAGGCTATTGTTTGTATATCGTTGTACTCATGCATTTTTTTAATGCAAGACATTAGACAGAACACTTACAAAACAACACAGGATGGATTTTTAGTATGTGAAGCGGTTGAATCTGATGTTTTGGTGCACTGGCTTTGTTTCTTTTGTGATTTTTTGTATTTGATGAAGGTGACTTGACTGTATCATCTATTGAATGTTTGGTTAGGTTTACCAAGTTACAGTGTTACAAACTATACTCTCAACATTGTGGATGAAAAAATGTTGATAGTAAAAGTTTAAAGTGACATTCTGTATTCTAATTAAATGGTTTTTTTTTGGCAGTAGCACTAAAGTTAAGGGTGAAATATTGGTGTAGGAAACATCACTTGAAATCTAAAATCTTTATCTTTCAGGGAGGTTCACCCTCGAACCTGAACATGAACCTGTATGCCACCAAGAAGACAGCAGCTGAGGGCATGTTGGACATCGCTTTGTTCCTGGCCAACATCACACACATGAAGACAGTCATCGAACAGGGTGCTGGATACAGGTACAGTGTGTGTGTGTTTGAGTGTGTATGTGTGTGAGGGATTAAAAACCTTTCTTTTAACAGAATCTTTCAGGGTTTACCGTCCCAAATTTGCCCACTTACTTATTGCAGAATCTTTTTCTTCCTCCTCCTCCTCAGGTACTACGCTGCCGTCCTGACGCTCATCTCCTTCTCTCTGGCGCTCCAGATAGTAGCAGGAGTCCTCATCATCGTCATCGGTGAGCCAATCACAACACAGCAATACCTCCACCTATACCTACAAACACACCCTCCATGTTTTTAACAATCATATTAACACACTAACACACTGATGCATTGATTAGCCGTGGAAATACAAGCAGTGCAGGTTGAAGTGCGTTCACTTTTCAAGGATTTTTTAATTTGCAGATAGAAAACTTTGAAGCAAATGAAACATCATAAAACAAATTTGAATGTAAAAAAAAAAAAAAAAAGGAGCCAAATGGAAGTAAAGAGTTTTCTGCAACTTCTGTGTGGTTCGTTATTTTTTGTTGTTGGTGTCTTTGGTGTGTGTGTGTGTTTGTGTGTGTTTGTGTGTGTGTGTGTGTGTGTGTGTGTGTGTGTGTGTAATTGTTGCAGCTCGGCGAGACCTTAACGAAGAAGCCAACCAAAAGCGCCTGAACAGCCTGAACAACTACACAACCATCATCATCTTCCTCATCTTTGTAACCAACATCTTCATCTCCGTCTTTGGGATGGAGCGCACGGGCCTTTTTGCCAGGATGCATTTCTGACTTTGTCATGTAGGGGGTGATCTAATACTCGGGTCTTTTAGTAAAGAAGGACACAAACACACACATACAAACATAAACACAGGAGTGTAAATTCTTATTCTACTTAAAGTACTAATCAACTACAGTATTACTGCACTCCAATGTCTTTATAAAACTTAAGTATGAGTGGACTTAGCCATGGCAAGGGACCAACTAGGTGTGTGCGTGTGTGTGTGCGTGTGTGTGGCTGTGTCTCTGTTTGTGTGTGTGTGTTCATGTTGCCTGTGTTTGTGTGATGTGTATGTATGCGTGTATGTGCAGCTAGATGTGAGCTGACCCTCCTCACCTCTTACCAGCGCTTGTTAAACTTCCTGAACAATCTGACCACCGGCCTCATCTTCCTCACGCTCATCGTCAACATCATCAAATCCGCCTTCGGCACACAACGCAGCTGCTTCCTGCGATGGCTGCTGCAGCGATTTATTCTATGAAACACCATATTCGCACACACATTTGTGCATTATATAGGTATATTCAAATACAATTACGGGGCAAAACACACATGTTTTAGGGTGCTTTTTGAAGAATTTTGTTTGTGAAAATTAGTGAAAAACTGCATGTGTTGCTAAACTGTTATACTTATTATAGCCACCAGAGGGAGCCAAACCTTACCGTTTTCTTTTTTTTTTATAATTGTGCTGTCATTGACATGTGTCACAGATTATCACTCACACCTCTTGCCTATATTGCCTCAACCCCACAAGCAAAAAACAAAGTAAGCTTTAAAACCAAACCAGTTTCACAATGACTCAACATCAGAATAGTATCTGTATTTTGATGTTAGTATTATTATTATCTACTAGAGGTTGTATGTTGAACCCAGAGTCTAACTGCGACAGATGTTGGATCTTTGTTGCTCAGGGGCAGCAATAAATGTGTTCAGTGAGAGGATTCGATCTCTTATATGGATTTTATTGAAGTCAAATTAAACGTATTTTGTGACATTAAGGTCAGAATATCACAGAGGCTGGAGGGCGAGTGGCTGAACGGCTGTTTGCAAAATGAGAGTGCATGTCTGCGTGAGTGTGCATGCATCAACTGTAAATGAGAGTTTGTGTGTGTGTGTGTGTGTGTTTGAAATGTTTGATATTGTGTGTTTGTCTGTGTTTGTGTGCATGTGTGTGTGGTTATTGCAGCCCGCAGGGACCTGAACGTGGTGTCCAATCAGAAACGACTTGACTACCTGAACAACCTGGCCACAGGGTTCATCTTCGCCACCACAGTGATCAACTTCTTCATCAGCTTCTTCGGATCCAAGAGGACCGGTTTCTTCCGCTGGCTGCTGGCTCGACTGCACTTCTGACACACACGCACACACACAGACACACACACAGATACACACACACACTCAGAAACCCATTGCACAATATCATCCATCATCCATGCAAACACTTAAATTTGTAAATTTGAAGTTAACTAAGCATACAGTGAGCGTGCACACAGACATACATTTTTTACAGAGATGAGACAACCTGTTCACATCTTTTTTTTATTCTGCCTTTGAAAAGTGTTTCACCATGTAATCTAACTAACGTATTTTCATTTTAACCGGCTGAATTTCCATGTAAATATTCATAACTTCATTTGGTCTGATAATGTGCCCAAAAAAAAATGTGTGTATTCCATAATGTGTATTTCCATCTGTTTTACAATTGTGTCTTTTGTATTTTAAATTGTAAAAACTTGATAAATCATGATAATTAGTCCAAGTAGCAGACAAAAAAGAGTCAAATGAACAAGAGACATCCTTCTAATGTACATGGAAGCAGAATAAATATATTAATTTAAGATGAATCTATGACATGCCTATTGTGTTTCTTTTCTGCTGTTTGATTTATTGCAAAGTAACAAGTCAATCGTATCACAAACCTAAAAGTGTGTGTGCAAGTATATATCCCTGTATGAAGCAGCCTCTGCCCTTGAATGTGTCTGCCTGTTCATCTTAAGAGAATCCAAATGTTCTTTATCCTTAAGATAAACTCTGTGAGAGTCAGAGCCAAGTGTGGTTTGAACCCTCTCTTTCTCTACTCTGTGTGTGTTTGTGTGTGTGTGTGTGTGTGTGTGTGTGTGTGTGTGTGTGTGTGTGTTTGTATGTTTGTCTCTCAGGCCGGCGGGATTTGAATAACCCCACCCTGCAGAAACGTCTGGATTACCTGAACAACGTAACAACCATCATAGTCTTCATCACCTCAGCCCTCAACTTCTTCATCAGTACCTTTGCCATGCAGAACGGATACCTGCGATGGGTTATGATGCGGATTCACTAAAACACACACAGAGACACACACACACACACACACACACATTGCTAAACAGACACACTAACCATTACACTCATGCATACATATAATTAGCTTTTAAATAACCAATAACCAGCCTCAGAAATCATGTGGAAAATTCACTTTTTTCAGTTTATTCCATAAAATGTAAAGCTCCTGTGAGGAGTTAGTAGCTGGTTATGAAACAGACTTAAATTAAAACGACGGCCTTTATATGACCTACAAAAGCAAGCAAGACTGCAAGACTGTCAAAGAGAAGATAGATTATTTCTATTTAGTTCTTATTTTACATGCATATCACTCCTGCTGCAGGCTAGGTGTCAGATGATTAGGTTTAGGGCAGAAATGGCCCTTTCAAAATTATTTCCACAACAAAAAATTATTGTGATTTGCTTGTTAGACATCGTAAATAAAAAAGGATGAGATTTTTTTCTCTCTCTCTCAGAAAAACCTCCTCACAAATGTACAGGACAAAATCAGCAACAGATGATAGGTAATCCTAATTTGACCACAGGGGGGTGCCAAAGTCTAACAATTAAATATTTCCTCACATGAGCTTTAACAAAGTGGCCTTGTATATGTACAGTACATGTATGGGAGAATGTAATGCTGACTTGTAGCTCCTCATTTTCTATTTTGTAACTCAATGGTGACATCTTGTGTCTAATAAAAAGTCAGGATAGTCAAAGCATCCCTCATATAACACCAGCTTCATCTAACTAACAGCTGCATTATCCAGTTATAAACACAAATAAAGAAAGTTCTGATTTAAAATGTTTTGTGCTTTATTAATTAACATGGAGAAATGTGTTTGCTCCGTCACAGTTTGGTCAAAGATCTGCTTGTTACTTTATATTTGTTTCAGTTGTAAGCCATTGGAACCTTTATGGCTTAACAGGTTTTGTAAGTTGTATTATTTTTGATCGATTATGTATCCGTGCATGCTCTGTATATGCACTCTCTGCCCTTTTAATTAAGATTTTATTTTGTGTCTTTTTCCACACCCTAAAATGATACATCCAAGAAAAAAAAAAAAAGAAGAAGCAAAACGTAACAAACAAAAGAAGAGACTGAGCGACTCTGGGCCCTTGCGGCTCTGTACACTCTGTCCTCAAACTCTCCAACACTGTGCACCTCCAACCTCCAACAACCTGCCAGGCCCTCAAGCCTCCTCTTATAGTATATGAGTTGGCACCTACCAAAAAGGGTTGGAAATCAATTTGCTCTCAGGAGAGTATTACCTGTTCTACAAACAACACATATTATCTGCAATACGGCTAAAAGCATGTCAACATACATTTCCGTTAAGTAACTACTTAAACAGCCATTTTAATAACATATATAATCTCAACAACCTAAACATCCCTCCACCTCTACCAAACATGGCCCCTTCCACTTAGCCCACCCCCATATAAGCCACAGGTAGAATTCAGCTTTGACGGTTCCTGGTTAGAAAGAGTGCAAGCAGGGCTGTGGAGCAACAGGAGACAAAGACATAATGTATGCTTAAAAATGAATACAATGTTTTAATGTTAAACATAGTTCATGTGTGTTTTCTTTTGCTTGAAAAAACAATGTTTGAAATTAATTGTGAATGAGTTTTATTCTTAGCATTTTCTCAGAAGTCATTCACACCAAGTACTAGTTCCTAAGTTAACCTTAACACGGGCCTCTCAGCCAGCTTGATGTTAACTCAAGAGTGTCTGTTTTAACATTAGCCCATGCATGTGTGTGTGTATTACTTTAGAGGGCACAGGGTTACCCCTTGATAGATGCATTTACTTGATTATTGTATTTAAAAAGAACGTTACAAAACTTGTACTTTCATCAAAAAATATTATCCACGTATTCAGCTGTTTCACAGAAGAGAGAGAACAACACTATGTGGGAAATGATTCATCCTGTAAAAGTTTCCAGAAAGAGGAGGGGAGAGGGAGGGGGGGGTGGGATCATGTGTTTTTCTCAAGAAATGAACCTCCACCCTAAAGAGAAACGTTCATGTTTGTTTCCTGGCCGAAGACAACAGATAACACTCAGCAGCCAGTCGGTAAAGTACTTTTATTCCTTTTTTTGATTTCTCCGAAATGTAAGAAGACATTTCCTGGTTCTCTTCTAGTCCTCTGATCTATGAAAAAACAAACACACACTTAGTCTGGTATTAATAATGTGAGGAACTTTCTGTTTGAGTCAATAGAAGTTTCCCCTGTGGACACATCTCTTTGCTGATCGTGTCCTGTACATGTGTAGTGTTTTCTGAGCAAAACATAACTGTATCCCGTTGACTTTAAAGAGTCAAACATGTCACTCACCTTAAATCTCGGACATGGAAATCAAAAATGCTCTTTAGGCCGGGTGTTTTTTTAGTCGCCTTTAGTGACACCTACCTGGCAGCAGCATTTACGCACATTGAAAATTAACAATTTAGAAATGTTCAGTCTACTTCACAAAGGTCTCATAAAGAGCCATGAGGAGTATCATTCTGTTTAAAAACGTCTCACAGGAGCTTTAAATCAAGTACAGCTTGAAGATATACCTCCTGAACAGCATATAATCAGTCAAAATGTAATTTGTCTGCTTGATTTACAAATTAAATTCTCTCCCCTCTAGACATGGCTTCAGCCAGCAGCCTCGCATTTGAAGAACAGCTCCTGTGTTCAATCTGTCTGCATGAGTTCACTGAGCCAGTCTCTACACCATGTGGACACAACTACTGTAAGGCTTGTATCACAGGATACTGGGCCACCAATGACCTGACAGAGTGTCCCCTCTGTAAGAAACAATTTTACCATCGACCACAGCTTCAGGTCAACACAGAGTTCAGAGACATGGCTGAGCGTTTCAACAACATGAGACTGAGGGGTAAAGATAACACCCTTGCCAAACCAGGGGAAGTCCCCTGTGACATCTGCCCTTGGCCGAAGTTCAAGGCCCAGAAGACATGTCTGTTGTGTTTGTCCTCTTACTGCCAGTTTCATCTTGAGCTTCATCGGGGAGTCACAGCCCATATGAAGCACCAGCTGATCGACCCGGTGTCAAACCTGGGTGACAGGGTGTGTAAGAAGCACAACAAGGTGTTTGAGCTCTTCTGTCATAGGGACCAAGTGTGTGTTTGTTCCGTGTGCTTGAAAGACGACCATGCCATGCACAAAGCTGTCCCGTTAGAGCGTGAGATCGCAGAGAGGAAGGCTCATCTGGATGATGTTGCAGCAGAGATAAAAACGTTGGAAAACGCTAAATCCAGGAGCATTGAAGAAGTCAAATGCAAAGAGGAACGGAGCAAGAAACAGTCACAGAAAGAGATGGAAGACATTGATGAGGTTTTCACTGATCTGATTCTCTCTCTGCAAAGAAAACAGTTTGGGCTGGTTGAGTTGATCAAAGAGAAACAGGAAGAAGCAGAGAAGCAGGCTAAAGACAACCTGACAAAGTTGAAGCAGGAAATCGCTCTGTTGAGGAAGAGAAGATCTGAAATAGAGGAGCTTTTACAAACAAAGGATGACCTCCAACTCCTGCAGAGCTGTCTTTCTCTGGACTTCCCTGTAGAACACGGGTACAAATTTGACCCCATCTGCCTCTTGGGGGCTTCATTATCCCTCCCAATCTCTGACGTCAGTCGACAGAGTTACGCAGTGGTGGTGAGAAAAGCTGTGGCTCAGGTGGAGAAGTCATTTAGCAATGAGATGGAGACGCTTATACATGAGGTCAGGTTATCTAATGGCTCTGAAGTGATAGAGCCGTGTGGTGCCGCTGAAAAGCCAGTGTCGGATAGGTTCATTAAAGAAGTGTGGAATCCGCCTCAGGACAAGCTGATGATGATCCAACAGTGCAACGCAGTGGATGTGACTATGGATGCCTACACAGCCCATCCAAGTCTTGTGGTGTCAGGGAATGGAAAACAACTGAGAGTTCGTGATGGCCAACTGCATTTACATGCTTTATTTGGGCACAGATTTCGACATCATAAATGTGTTCTTGGGGAAGATGGCTTTTCATCCGGAAGGTTCTATTTTGAGGTCAGGGTCCCGGGTTGTAGCTGCTGGATCTTGGGAGTGGTCAAAGAGTCCTTTGATAGGGAGTTGATGTATATCCCCGGCCCTGAGGAGGGTTATTGGACATTTGCAGGATTCAACCCCCTGCTCCAGACAGTTGGTGTGTTTGTCGATCATGAAAAGGGAGAGGTCTCCTTCTACAATGTGGACACCAGGACACAGATCTACTCCTACACAGGATGTAACTTCAAAGAGACAACGCCAGCACTCAAAACGTTTCTCTATTCCATGGCTGGAACTCATGTAAGCAGCAGATTAAAGCTCTTTCCTTGTTTAGGTATTATGGAAGGGTTACCTATTGACGGACTTGAAATCATTCCTGTGACCCACTAAGTGAAGGTTTGAGAAGATCTGAAAACGCTTTGTCCTTCCAGATACCGAGCCCAAAGCTGAACTTTTGTATGAGTGATTACCGAGTATCAATACATACCAGCACAATTCCTTTAAGATAAAGGATACAAATGATTATGGACACCTTTAACAACAATATCCTGCTCATAATGGTCTGCTGAAAAATAATAGAACCACTGCCATGTGTCTTCATTTGTTTTGCTATTTCATTTCAAAGCTTTATCGAGCTGGGACAGCTTTGTTGAGCTGGGTTTCCTTGTCTAAAGGATTTGAATCATACCTGAAAAAGTCTGTACCATATCAAGCTTTTCTAATGGAATGGAAACACCTCGATATAAGATGTGGGATTAAGTTTGTTGCTTCACATTGAGCTTTTCTGAGCTCTCATGTAATACTTCAGCGCTCTGTTATAGTATTCACGCACACATGTTTTAGTAATACAGTATATATATCCTGCAGCAAACAAGATCATCTAGAGCACACTAAATATCAGTGTAATATTTGTACATGTTTCTTAGCTTGTTGTTTCACAGCCGTAATTCAAAAACAGTGATGCAGGAAACATAATTTACTTGACAGTTCATGTTCTTGTTCATGGCGTTAATTTGATCATTTTCATATATTGCAAAACTTGTATATGACCAGAAGATGGCAGCATTGCTTAACAATATGTCGTTTTTTGGCTTGTATTTTGTTTTACGTTTGTTGGTCTGTTAAAATATATTTACTTTTTCATGAATATTTTCATATTTTTTCAGTCTTAGAGATTTTCTCTCATTTTACAGAACAAATGATTTTGTTATTACAAAGTCTGTGTAGCTTTAATATCGAAGTTGGCAGTGCAAAAACCCCTTCATTATCTGTCCTTATGCAAGTGGCTGTAACCTTTTTCATTAGTGACTTCTGTCAATGTAATTATACAATTGAGTCCATATGATCTGTATTTGTTCTTTGACAAACAATTTCACTCTCTTTTTAAAATAGGTATACTTATTTGTACTTATCCGCCATGATTCTAACGAAAGGGCATTTCAACTGCAAGTGTTTGTTAAACTGTATGCAACTCATGTAGATTATATAACACAAACAAATAAAAGAGCATGTCCATAAAACCATCTTCTCTGATATTTACAATAATTGGGTTACGTTGCGGAAAAAAAACAAGGGCACCTTCAGTGATTCTTTACAATTATAAACTAAATAAAAGAAAAGTTTTCACTGATCAGTTTAGAGATGTTTCAGAAGAGAGCGCTGGTCCATCACACATGGAGTGTTTCTCTCAAGGGGAACTTTAGCCTGCTCTATTTATACCTCAGCTGTCTGACTGCATGGCGCCCAGGGAACTGTGACCCTGTGTGTGTGTGTGTGTGTGTGTGTGTGTGTGTGTGTGTGTGTGTGTGTGTGTGTGTGTGTGTGTGTGTGTGTGTGTGTGTGTGTGTGGTGTGTGTGTGTGATTGGTAATTGTCCATTGGAAAGATTTCTTTAGGATGATGTGTAAGTGTAAGAGAGACAGACAGGGGAACGGACCTGGGAGGTCGGGTGAGCAGTTATAAAATATTCCACATATTCAGTCAAATATACAGTATACAGTATGTAGGTCATCCAGCAGACAGACATCGACTCTAACAAGCTATATGTCCAATCTATGGATTCAGCAAGAACTTGTATGCATCATTCCACAGAAATGAGGAATTCTCTCTACAGGAAAATTAGGACATTTAGATGTTTTCATTAAAGATGTAACATTACAACAAATTATAAAAAATATGATACTGGCTTGAGGCTAAAAATGACTCAAAGGTAGTGAAATATTTACTTATATTTAAGAAAAATCAAAAGATATCTGAATGATAACTTTGTACAACATTGTAACTGATGGATGTCACTGGTGTTGTTATTACTCTCCGAGCATAAATTCATAGACACAAACTGGAAAAGACAAATCAAGAAAATGTTGATGTGAGCTGTAAAATATTTGTTTCTGTTTCATGGTTGATTTAGGCTAAATTACTGGATCTCTCCGTGCTTCCGGTACTTGTACATAGCACATGTAATCCATGCCACTACTTTATAATTGTACTCCACGACATAGAGATAATACTTTTTACTATTTATTTAACAGATATCTACGGAAGCGTATTGCATTCATGTGGGGGATTTTTTTTTTTGCCTGGTTTCTTGTTATTACGAGATAAAGATCTTGTCATAACGAGAAAAGACACACATTACAAAGACTAAAAAGATACTAGAGGGTTAATGAAGTTTGCATTGTGGCAGGCAGAGGAGGGAGGAAGCTCAAAAGGCAACGATGACCAGGGTTATTGATTTGATTGTGTTTTATTTCCATCTTGGTTTAAGGCATTGGGAAATATTATCATCTTTGAGTAGTACAGATGGTATTCTCATGAGCTTGTCGACTTAGCGCAGGCGGTGTTTATTCTGAAATGTTGTAATGAGCTGCCACTGGTGTACTGTACACTCCCATAAACAAACATGCGTCTCCTCATCGCCACCACCCTAATGCTTTTCTCGTTATTACGAGATCTTTTTCTCGTTATAACAAGATATTTATCTCGTAATTACGAGATATTTTCTCTTTATAACCAGATCTTTTCTCGTTATTACGAAATCTTTATCTCGTAATTACGAGATATTTTCTCTTTATAACAGATCTTTTCTCATTATTACGAGATCTTTAACTTGTAATTACGAGATGTTTTCTCTTTATAACCAGATATTTTCTCGTTATAACAAGATCTTTATCTGGTAATAACAAGATATTTATCTCGTAATAACAAGATATTTATCTCGTAATAACAAGATATTTATCTGGTAATTACAAGATATTTTCTCTTTATAACCAGATCTTTTCTCGTTATTACCAGATCTTTATCTGGTAATAACAAGAAACCAGGCAAAAACAATTCCCCACATGAATGCAATACGCTTCCGTAGATAGCCTACTTATAAAGAATTTACACAAAAATATAGAACATCAAAAAGTCAAAAGTTTATGAATACCCAACATCAGCTCTACCTATACCAATTAAAAGTAATTCTGGGCCATATAACAATAAGCCCAGATAGCCTACAGCTATTATATGAATATAAAACATAAATATTGTTGATCTTCTGAAAGTGAAATAATAAAATAAATCATAAATCAAGAACTACAAAAATCAGTGGATGACATGGATTATGTTTTTTTTTTGAGGATTTGTTTTTCAAAAGCAAAAGCACTTCTCTCTTTATAATTGGGGCTTTAATAATTACGGATTATCATGCACGCGACTCGGGGTGGGGGGGGGGCGTGATGAGGGGGGATTGGTACGTCTCGGGGGCGCGCGCTCCACCGTCGTGACGTCACGGGAGCGCCCGTGCGGTGGGAAAGCCACCGGTGGTAGAGCAGGCGGAAAGGAGGGAAAGAGAGAGACGGCGGAGAAAGACAGGGAAGAGGGAAGAGAGAGAGAGAGAGGGACAGACACAAGAAGGGGAAGGCAGTCCCCCCCCCCCGAAAACACAGCGTTTCACCCCAGCTGACCGTCTGCGAAAACGTTACGAAAAACGTCACTTTTGAGGTGAAAGCAGCAGAATAACTGAAGAGGATTTTTATTTTTTACTGGCCTTTCTTTTCACGGAAGCGTATTTCACAACCGAAGGGAGCAACGTAAACACAGCCGCAGTGAGTACTGGAAGTTAGCTGGCAGTGTGAGTGTGCACATGTATGTTTTATTACACAGGCCTATTTGTGTGTGTGTGTGTTTGTGTGTTTGGAAGAAATGTTCACTTGTGTGTCGTCTGTGTTCATTTGAGTCGTCGTAGCTACATCAGCAAAAACATAATTAAAATTTGATGCCCGCTTAAGAGGTGCAGCAGTTTCAGGTCAGCTGTGAGGACTACACGCACACACACACACACACACACACAGCAGCAGACTGTCACTGTGGTACATTTTGTATTCTTTTTTTTTTCCGTGCCCGTTCAACAAGGCTTTCTCTTATTTTGGTTCAATAAACCAATTGTAGCTGCACAGCTAGAGGCTTTCCGCGGAATATCTGGCTAATAACGCTGTCTCTTCTCTTCTCTTCTCTGCACCGCCAAATGCGATTATCAATCTGTTCACTGGGTTGCAGCCGGCAGAAGATTGTGCTGCTGACAGCTTTATAAAGCCACATAATTGTTATTTTTACAGCGACTTTTTTCCCCCCTACTTTATAGTGGATTTATCTCCCATGGTGTGTGTAATATCACCTCGGGGACTCGGAAGTGCTCATGTTGTAGTCAATATTAAGTTACCACAGTGTTCCAGTGGGAGCTTTAAATTGTGATGCGTTATTCCTTAAAGGTTTCCCCCCACCTAACCCTCACTCCAAAGTGCAAACCTTTGCACGTCTCTTAAAATGATGTTTTCAATAGCTGCACAGGGCTGTCAGCTGACTGAGCAGATGCAAAAGCCACTCTGGAGACAAGATGAAGCAACTTGTAGAAGACTGGGTAATGACAACAGCTTTGACACTGTTACTCAAACACGCATCCCGTGGAAATTAACTTGTTAATGAAGACATTTGGTGATATTTGCTGCGTGTGTTTTGCAATGTCACGGGGAGGAATAGGGGTGGATAGAAGAGGGGACACCGAGATTTCCTCTTATGTTCCGCCCACAGCCCCATTTCTTTGCACCGCCCCTCCTTCAGGAACACACAGGGAACTGAGCCGCTTCCTTCCACTCAGACTTTTGTAAACACAAAACATTTTTTGAATATCCAGGCTCTCCTATCAATTCCTAGAACTGACTTTTAGCATAAGACCATGGGGAAGGATGTATTTCTTTGAACATAGATAGATAGCAGCTTCGAGATCCCATTTTGAAATAGCTTTGAAAGCTACAAATGGCATCACAGTGGAAGAAGTTGAGCAAACTACTCTTGTTGAAATAGCATTTAAGTAACCTAAAAGTGGAAATGTAATTATGAAATTGTGTTCATTACAAACGGGGTCAATTTGTGCACATTTCAGGACCCATGAACAACAACAAAAAAACGATGCAGTGTAAAACAGATGTCTTTGCCCCGCTTCTTTTTGTATCTGCTTTTTTTTTTTTTGCTATATCGCCACTTGACACAGCTGGGGCTGCTTTGAATTAATATATTTTATTTGTTCTAAAATACATTTCAAGCTGCAGCTGAAAGAATATATTTTTTAGGGAATACACAGATGCAATTCCATATGGATACTTGTTACCTTTATGATGGAAAAGTGATATTTTAAGCCTTAACTTACACATTCACACAGTCAGCTGTCCTTCCCGGGTGTCAAGAAATAGGGCTGATGGAAAATCTCGGCATCCCCTATTTATCCTTGGACATTTAAAACAAACATAAACTTATTCATATTTGTCATAATTTCGTAATTGTACAACTAGTATAATCGTTTTTCTGCTCTGCTGCCTGTAGACTTCTCAACATTTGTGATTGATTTTTTTTATTTTACCATGGAGAAAAAAAACTTGTTGAGAATAAAAATCTCTTTGTCAAGAATGTCCTTGCCAGATATTTAGCAAACACTCCTTTTATGGAAACAACTTATCCAATCCCCTGGTTGAGCTATCAAGCTGATAACTGGCATCAATTTCTTCATAATAAGGCCTCTGGTCAGGCTGTTGTGATTGCAGGATTACGCTTAGGTAACTTCTAAAAAAGCATGCAGCTACTTCTCTGAACAGTTGTAACTAAAGTTTTGTCATAGATGGATAGAGAGATAGAAAGCAGACTTTCATGAGGTGTCTGGGTCACCTTCTAAACTCCCTTTATAAACTTGGCAAGATGACTGGACAGGCACATTCCTTATTATACAGGATGAGCCTGGGGGAGTTCCTCTCTCACTTTTCCCTGCATTAAACACTGCTCAATAAGCTGTGCCTCTTCCTTGCCTTTGTGTTAATTGTCAAATGTCATCATTACATTTCCCATCCCAAGTAGCGGCAGCAAAGATTAGATAAGTGTTGCTTTGTGTTTGCATGTGCACAACATCGATGTTCTTTCTTCGTATCTGTGGGGTTTGGTGTGAGTCATCAAGTGTATGGGTGGTTTGTTTGCCCAGCCTGCATCTCGGATTAATTTCCTGTGCCACACAATAGACTGGAGCTGATGCTATCTGTCCTTTATCAGCGTTGTGCTTTCCATGTGTCTGAGCCATATTCCATGTCTTATCGCTGATCGGACTGGTGAAGTTACAAGTAGCGCAGTCTCTCTGCTGCACCTGAATCTCTTATCTTGCACAGACATCTTCTGCCTAACATTTAGTCCCATGTGTAATTAGGCTGTTTGGTTAATTGAAAAATTCTCATACAATTTTGACTTATCTAGTACCATCTTTGCAGGAATAATTATTTCTTCTCTTCATCGGAGACTCACAGTCTTAAAAAAAGCCAAACTCTCTCAGCTACATTTTATTAACATGCATTTTAACATAAATCTGAAGGAAATCATTTTAAATAAGTTGCCGTCCAGGTCAAATGCACAAATCAGCACATAACTGTCATCTTAATCAGTCATCATGCCCTGACATGAGGATGCATGTGGCCTGAAGCCAAACCACTAATGATATGTTAACTCAAAACCCACATCATTGCCTGAGCTATGTATTGCACATCAATGCTGAACAAGTCATTAAAGTCCAAATACAATATGAAGTAGTGAAAATGCTTTTATTATGATAGAATCAGGAAATGTGGTGTTTTTAGTAGTCGATTAACACAACTCAAAACCACACATTCAGTTAGAACCTACTGAGATCTGATCCACAGTGACTTTAAAACACAGCTTTCTATGGTCTCATGCACGTTTATGATTTAGATCCAATTAAACAAGCTTCTTTCAGGGGGAGAAAGGGGGTCTTGGTCTTTGAATATGTATTCATATGCTCAATCTCTTTTAATACTGTGATATAATACTGTACTGGAAAAAGCAAAACAAATAAAACATTGCACTTTTTACTCAGAAGGCAATCTTGTTTTGTAAGCGTTAATGTTTTTACAGTCATTATACAGGAGCTGTGAAGGTAAAAAAAAAAACCCACCAATATGGTGAATGTTCGCTCATCCCTTTAAATCTCCACTTAGATTAGGTGCTGAAAGCATACGACTCTCCCCCTCAACCGTCCCGTCGAGTTAACTTTCAGGGGGGATGTGTAAAGCCAGACTGCACCAGTGAGTCCTCTCCAGCCTCATCATATCACAGTGAGTCTGACAGGAACAGAGAGTAAAAGAGGATAAGAATATTCAATATGAGTATGATGTGATTTTTATGAGTCCCGATCCTCAGGCCAGAGACAAACTTTGTCTAAATCTGCTCCCATGCTGAAACACCAGCTGGCTAAGTATAGGTTTAGTGGTGTTCGTGTGTGTTGCACTTTGCAGTGTGACAGATGCACGTGTGTGGTTGTTGCATAAATAGAACATTCAGAACACCTTTAGGAATGCTGACGGAGAAAGATGCAGGAAGTGAAAGCATTGACAAGACAATAGTCAAAGAGGGATTAGAGGTAGACGAATGATAATGACGTCAACCTAAAGCCACAACAATTATGATTCTTATTTTGACAATGGATCACATGACCACTTGTGTGTGAGAGAGGTTTCCACTAAGGGATCAGGACATTATTAGCCGACCATGCTGTTCCTTTCTTGCACTTCTTTGGCCCAGAATTTAACATTTTGTTTCACTCATCACTCGTCATTTTTAGCTACAGCTGCCAAAAATACCCCAAAGCTCCCCAAAGCTACGTGCCAATTACCAAACAATACAAGTTTGGGACTTTGTGACAGGGAATCTTAACAATTAGTTGCTAAACATCGGAATATTCCCAAGAGCAGGTAGAGACCAAAAGCAAATTATTTTGACCACCTTTAGCTAATTGGTTGGATACAATTTAAAAAGTATGTTATTGCTCATATGGTACCAAGTTAGAAAAACAAATGCAAGGTCTGTCCTAAGCTGTGCATCGAGTAAGCATTCAACCGCAGAGACGTTCTTGGTATCCTGGTGTGATATTCTTGGACTTTATGAGGCCTAAGACAACATTGTGTGTGTGTGTGAGGAGGCAGTGTGTGGAGAAAAGATGAGACATGCAGAATGTCTGCTGTTAGTCACCGTACAGTGAGGCAGAGGATGAAATACAGGGCGTTGTGTGTGTGTGTGTGTGTGTGTGTGTGTGTGTGTGTGTGTGTACGAGGGTTTCCTGTAGAGTGTTTTGTGGACACAAAGGGGATGGGGTTATTTTGGTTCTCAGGTTCACTCCTGGGGCTGTTTCAGGATCCGTTCCAGGAAGTATTGTGGTTCTTCCGAGGTATTTTGTGGTCGGAGATTTACAGTAGTGCATAGAACGCAGCTAAGCTAAAATTGTGATTATAGATGTTGTGATCTGATAAGGTTAATGATGTAGATTAGTCTGCATAATGATCTGATTAGAGTTTACAGAATTGGTTGCATGTCAATGAAAATTAATTCAGGAGCAATTTGATACAAAAAACTGCTGAAAGGAAAATAGCAGAAATCAATTGATTCAGCTTCTCAAGTGCACATTTTAGTTTTTTATGAAATTAACCGAATATCATTGATTATTTTACTTGATGTTTGCTGTTTGAAAGAAGCTTGTGATACGTTACATACCACGTTACATAGCACCAGGGGTTGTGAGTCAGCATTTAGCAGCTTTATGACACTGCCTTTTTGTTGAAAAAATGTTTTTTGGGCGGACACTTGCATACTTCTACCTGTCACCTTTACTGAAGCCCTTTATAGATTAAAGGCGAAAAATCATAGGGGTTGAAACAGCAGTCTGAATAGGACTATAGTGACATTACAGTGCAAGAGTCAAATAGCTGAAGACATAGTCGCTCTTTAAGTTTTAACAGCTGTTTTACATTTTTTCCTGCAGCATCAAACACATTGCTTTCTCACATTTGTGTAAAAGGGCAAGAGGGATGCTCTGCCTGTTGACAGATGTTCTTGGAAAGTAATATGCATGCCTTTTCTTGATCTCATGATGCCATACGCGTCACAAGTGTGTGTGTTTGTGTGCTTGTTGCAGCGGCGTTGTCATTTTAGTAATTATTGGTTCTTCTTATCTGTTGTTATGGGAATTATGTTAAAAGTGAAAATTGAAAAAGTTGCCAAAAGTGGTTGGTTAATGTGAAATTTGAAACTGCAGAGGTAGTTTGTATCCTGTACCGTTCTGTCTGTTTATTGTTGTGCTTGTTTGGTACTGTTTTATGTGTATCTGTTGTTGAGTTTTATGTATTTTAAAGTTCCATCTAGGGACGGGCATTGCAAATGATCTATGGCTGTAAATGCTGTTTGTTACAAAGCTTTACTTGCTCCCTACTTGTCCCTTTACAATTAAACATGAAATAAATAAATTGCCAACCTGTGCAGGGTGTGCAGTGCTATGTCTCTAACCCAATGCATGCTGGGATATAGTCAAGTTTACTGCAACCATAAACAATCTTGGGAGTTCAAAAATGGATGGATATTTTGTCCTGGAGTTATTAATGAATAAAGCAATGATAGGAAAATAATATAATTCATTTGTGATTTTTTTTGTTGTTGTAGCTGTCTGTCCCACAGTTTGACAGTGCAAGCCTGGATATAAGCAGGGGTAGTGATTTTTACATGAGGAAGGCTCCATCCCTCGCACCAATCTGTGCCAAACATACACTCGTAGACTGAGATCATCACCAAAAAGAGAACAATGTGTGTGTTCAGTAAATGCTTAAATAGAGGCTCAGGAAGAGGCCAGATACTGCAAACATTCTGTATTAAAGGCAGAATGAGGGCACGTATATACATTATCTACAGGTCAGCAGGTCCAGAGGGGAGGCAGAAGATAGCGCTGAATACACACACTCACACTTCACTCTGTCCCTGCAGTCTCATCATATTGACCTCAAATGAAGCATTAGATGTGTGTGTTTTGTTGACCTGATCCCTCATGGGCACTGAACTGATGTGCATGTGTGTTCAACTGTGAACATTCAGGTTAGAATGTGGCTGTGTTGATGTATACATGTCAGGTTTTTAGGGATTTTGTAGATTTCCACATGTGTACAGTTTTTGCTCTCTTTTCTTCCCTAAGTGATTATTCTCTGTGTAAGTGTGTGTACCTGTGCTCGAGGCAGGGTCCTGGCCTGTTTCTGTCCAGGTGTGTGTTTTTGGCCAGAGGGGAAATGGAGCAGATGGTCCCCTTTTGCGACTGAGTGTGTGTGTCTGTAACTGGACAGTTTTCAGTCGCATCTCCCTGGTCAAAGATCTGTGCTTCACAGAACATAAGTTACTGCAGGGCTGTTAAAGGGTCGACAAAAGGGCTGCACAGTTAATCACACTTTAAACGAAATGGTAACATTTGTAGCCAAATATTTGCAAGAAGCTGTGTATATTAGATAAAATACTCACCAAGATATGCAGAATAACTGCCATGTGCAAGCAAAATACCAGTTTTGAACCTTATTTTCAAATGAAAGCTAAACAGTTATTTCCTTTCTTCATCATTTGTCTTTTGTATCCTACTATGTATGTTCATCTTTTTCTTCTTGATTTCACTTTGTTGACAATCATTGGATTAACACTGCAGTTAAAATTCCTTGACGGCTTAAATTATAGAGAAAAACCACATAATTAAATAACTTAAGATGGGTTTTTCTTTACTCTACGATTACGCATTTGTTACACAAAAGCAACATTTTTGAGAATAAGCATAGGAGTGTTCATTCATGCATGTGTTGACTGTTTATGAAACCCAGTTTAGTTGTAAGGGGAGAGTGTGGATCAGATGTTAGGTTCAGTCTGTGTGGCTAGTGGGTCATGTGACCACTGACCTGAGGATTACATCACTGTCTCCAAGGATACCCAGATGACTGAAAACATGACTGTAAACCAGAAGGACATTCATTTTCAATAGCTGTGATTGTATTGTCTTTATCCAATACAGTAGCTAACTCCACTGACTTACACTTTGGTTGCATATTATAATTATTAACCCCATATTTCCAAATTACATGTTCAAACATTCACAACAAAGTTTTTCCACTGCAAACAAACATTAAAACTAAGATCTTATCACATAATGGGTAGATAGAGGGGCCTGGGATATATGAGCATTAGCAACAGATACTGTATACAGTGTATAAGCAGCATGTGTTGAGCCGACGCTTTTAAATGATCATTTTTGGCTAAGGAAAGTTAAATGTCACAGATTACACAAAATATGTCCACAGCAGGATGCTGAATGAAATCACATTTTAAATGTAAAGGTTTCTGTGACTGAATTGATTTGACCTGTTTTTAATTTTCAGTTACTTATTTCAGGCAACTCACACAAATACACATACAGACTATTTCTAGGCTGTAAAAACATGTCTCAACACTATTTCATGGAGCTCAATTTGAAGTGTAGCTGCTCACATATTTGCCAGTTTCCAATATATCCACCTAATCTCTAATGTAGCACATATAACCCACTGTGTCCATGTGTAAATTTCCAGAAAATTGATTTCTAACCAGATTAAATTGACTAGATTAAAGTTTTTTATTTTTGTTTTAGTGCATGTAATCTATCCCGCAGGAACACTTTGGATTGTTTGCTTGAATTCATGCTCTATCAGCTGCTGTCACAGAGGTTGCTTCTTCTTTGCGGCTGATATGAAGACCGGTTACCAGAGGGGGTGAGGACATGGTGTGATTGTAAAAAGGAGGTGTGATGGGTGGTGAACAGACAAAGCAGTCTTATGTGATCATATGAACAAACTGATCAGGAGATGTCTGCTTGTTCCCGTGGCAAACCAAAGCTCTTCGACCATGCACTCAAGGAGTCACTTTTGCATATATTTCACATTTTTATCTCTGGTAGTAGTAGTAAACATAGCCTCTCAAAAAGGATACGTTTAATAAGTGAGCCGAGTGGTAGGAGTGGGAATCAGCATAGGCCCCACGATACGATATTATCACAATACTTAAGTAATGATATGATATTATTGTGACCTTGATTTCTCAATGGCATATGATAACATACTATTGTATTAAATTCTATTTGATATGAAATAAAAAAGAGGAGACAGATCTCATTAGTGTGAAAACCTAACCTATTATCTTTACTTAACCAAAAATGTTAAACTCAATGAGATGAAACAGATCTAATCGGTGAAAAGTTGGTGAACCAAAGCTAGTACCTGGAATAAATCCAGTGTCTTCCTTTGAACCTTAAGTGCAGTATTTCTTGATGGCTCTGATCCCTAAATCCTTATCTCTTTCTCCCTTTCTTTTTAGGTGATCCCATCATCACAGGTAGTGTGGATTTTCTGGCTGACTTTATCTGAAGGGATGCTTTATTGATTCGTCCTTTCAAACAAAAGCCCAGTGATTACGGGGAGGGTGTTGGAAAGGCTTTGATCACAGCTATGTCAACACTTCACCAGGATATTTCAAGCCAAGAAGGACTACAGTAGAGGACTGACTGGAGTAATTTCTTTTAGCCTTACAGGATTTCAGATTTTTTTTTTGCTAATCTGAGTTTAGTGTGAGTTTTTAAGCATGAGTTTTTGACATCTTCATTGAAACCTCTCACTCTACTGTACCCCACTCAAATTGTCTCAAAATGTACGGAAGCTCCCGCTCCGTCTCAAAGCTGGATGTTGTTGGATCCAATGGAAACGGGTCAATGTCAGGGAGTCCTGGACGTTCCCCCCGCCTCCCTCGCTCCCCACGCCTCGGACACCGTCGGAACAGCAGCAGCAGCTCCACTGGCGGACTCACTGGCTCCGGTAAAACCCTTTCCATGGAGAACATTCAGTCTCTTAATGCTGCCTATGCTACAGGCGGTCCGATGTACTTCGCTGACACAATGGATGACCCGGTTGGCATTGGGAGCCTGGGCAGCGGGTTGAATCCCTCGCTACCCAAAAACACCATGACCCTGGGCAGGGCTGGGGCCAGGGTTCCTTATGGGGTCAGGGCAGCTATTATGGGAAGCAGTCCAAATATTAACACTGGAGGAATGGGTGGAGCGCTCATGCCCAGCGATGCAATAGCATTTGGGGGGGACCTGCATAACCAGCCTCCACAGTCAGCCACTGTGCCCCACTCCATGAGACAGGTGAGGCATTACTGCATTTTCTTCTTTTATTAAATTACATTTGTTAATTTATGTATTACTTTTGGTGGTGTCTGTTTGCATTTAAGTCTGCACTTAATGTCTGACATGCAGATAACAGTACACTGAATTCAAAAACTCTGTTTTGCTTCCGTCTTTACTCAAACCTGTGATCCAGTTGACAGGTCTATATTAAGATGCTGATCAGACAGCATGATTATTGCACATATGTTTTTGGGCAGATGTTGCTAGTTTTTGAGGGGTCTTGTAATTGGCATGTTGACGGCATGAGATGTTGCACATGAATTGAATGACTGAAATGTATTTCAGAAAAGCTTTAGCTGGTACTGTATGTGTACAGTTTGTTTAAATAGAGTCAAGGCCACCCTCCTACTCCCTCTGCAGCATTAGTCAGAACATAAAAGCTAAGCGTTCCAGGAGTGATCCTCTATCCTCTTCAAGACCTGCCTCCTCCACTTTCTTGTAATTATTTCTTCAATCAAAATGTTCTCTCCTTACCTCCATGATACCTCCTGTATTGTTCATCACATTCATGTGCGGCATGTTGATTTTAAGGGCAAATATTGACTCTCATACATGTAATGTGGATGAAACTTGTTCTATTTCTCACTATTATGAGCTTAATACTAGAATAGAGTTTTTTCAAAAAAGAAAGAAGAATCTGTTTGTTAATTATTTCAAGATAATCATAACTCTTTTTAATATTTTGTGCTCTCACAACAAATGCACTATTGTAGGGGGAGAACGTTCTAATCATGACCAAACTTAGGGTTGTACGATATAAAGGAAATGTCATTCATACTTCAAAAATGGTTTGTTGGATGTTTTTCAGGTGAGAGAAGGTGCAATGACAGACCTTCAGTCACAGTTACGAGAAGTGCTCCGAGAGAATGAACTTCTACGCAGAGAGGTAAGGGATTTGTAGACATTCACACACCTCTCAAATGATATGTCAATATACGTTATTCATTAGTAGTTTCTCATTTGGCTGATTATTTACTTGTGTGTTTCTCTGTGAACTCTGCTGAAATTAAAACAAAGATTCCAGCTATAAGGACGAAATAAACCATAAGAAATATTAGCAGGAAAGCTAAACTGTAATGAGTGACTATAGATAGTTTTTAACCTCCATATAAACAAAATAAAGGGTCTAAGAACTCAAAGTCACAATGTATGATGTTGATTTCTTTTAGCTGGATACCAAAGAGTCCAAGTTGAGCTCCTCCATGAACTCCATTAAGACCTTCTGGAGTCCGGAGCTGAAGAAAGAGCGGGCACTGAGGAAGGACGAAGCCACAAAGATGGCCGTGTGGAAGGAGCAGTACAGAGTGGTGCAGGAGGAGACACAGGTAGGAATAAAACACATCTGCATGTGTGTTACTAGACTGTTTCTACTTGATGCGGAGACAGAAAGAAATGAACAGAGATGGGAAGATTAACAGAGCAACAACACTCAGTCTATTTGGCTTGATTTCGTAGATTTTCCTTTCAATCTGAAAAAGTCTGTGATGTAGCTGGCTTACTCGGTTTTGTCACACATAAAAATGTATGCCCTGGCAAAAAGTGGGGCATCCCCTGATCATTTCTTGGCCTGCTCTGGTGGATTTGTCTCGCTTCTGTAAGACGGCCTTCAAGACGGGTAAACGGATGATGCAGTCCGCCTGGTCGGGGACTCCCAGCTGTCTGTTGGTTCAGAAGCCATCTGGATGAGACGTAGCTAAGTCTGGCAGGAGGCCGGGATATTATACAAGAGATGACTTGCACACATGCAGGCTGGCAGTCATGCGCTTACTAACAGTGACTCATTTCACACGCTGTCATCTTGAAGGCAGAAAGTGCTCACTAAATTGGTCATTACTGTTCTACTCCTATCTCTAAAATCACAAAGTATTATCGCACTCTCTAAGAAAATGTACAGCCAGTTCGCTGCCTAACATGTGCGGCGAGTGTGTGCCGGTGTATGTGCATCCATAAATCTTTGAGTCTAGATGTGTGTTCAAAGTGAAGCGTGTGTGTGAGAGAGAACAAAGGAACAGATGATCAATCTGTCACTCAAGAAAAATCCTCAGTTGCCTCCACACTTTTAGTTCTTCAAGTCAGGTGTGTGTGCGCGCCGTAACAGTGAGTCACACACACACACACACACGCGTTGCGGCATGTAAGAATATGTTCTGTTCTCTAATGTTGGGAAATGCATGATGTTCCCTCTCTCTCTGAAGCGCTTTCACTTTCATTCCCTTCCTTTCCTCCAGACAAATCACACCCATTTAACCCAAGTCACCCTTTTTATTTCCTTCTCTTATTATCCCGTCACTTTCCTTTTCTTCAATCTCTTTTTTCTCTTCTGTTTCCCTCGCTCCATTTTTCTCTCTCTTTGTACTCGTTCTTCTTCTCTCCTTCTATTTCTGTCATCACACGGTGAGTCAGCTCCCGCTTTACTCCCTCTTACCTTCACTCCTCTCTCTCGCTCCCTCTCTCTCTCTCTCTCTCTCTTTGCCATCATCTTTGTGTTAAAAAATTTAATTAACTTACCTCACAGTAATTTCTTGGGTTTGTGCATACAGACACACACACACACACACACACACACACACACTCACACTCATGCACACACATGCACGTTGTGTCACGCCCCTGCTGAGGAATGCGTATCTCATCCCCACCCTCTGTCCTATCTCCTCCCTTCTTTTTCCTCTACACTTCCTCAATTATTCGCCTCCTCCTTCATGCTCGGCCCACTCGCTTCACCTCTCCTCCATCTGCCTGTCGCTCACTCTGCATTAATCCTTTCCTCTCATATTAATTATACAAATGTCGTCACCATAAATGAAAGACATTCCTAATCTTATATTTGCATTTTTACTAAAAGTTTGCGTTGTGCAGTTCCTCTTCTTTTTTTTTTTTTTACACAATACATGTGGTTGCAACATTTCCGTCTTGAATCCAAAAAAGACCCCAAAGTATTTTTCACCATTCCCTTGGCACCAACTAATCTGAGAGTAGCTGAAATCTAGCTTAATCTTCATTTGACTGCATCAGAATGATCTGAAAGAAGGGCCACTAGACACACAGACATCATTTCGATAGGTAAACTATGCTGACAGTGAGTGAAAAGCATTCTCATTTGCATAAAAAGAATGTATCTCACTTGTTGCAATAAATTCACTTGACTTGGGCAATGTGTTCATTGCAAATACTCAGGCTGCACACTAGATCCAACTTACATCATTATGGCAGTATGAGTTATCTTACAGTTGCCTGATTATGCATCCAGCAGAGACAGAGCAAGTTTGCATTTGTTAGGAGTCCTGTGTCTGGCCTCCTAACAAATCAAAGACAAATATTAATAGTCAACCAGTGAATACAAAATATAATGTGACAAAATCTGCAAGTTCTTGTTAACAACCTAGTGGGTGTGCGATGCTTGTTAATAAAAGAAGTAGAAGTAAAAAGAGTGAGCCCAGCTTATTCCTGATGAGAGAGAGCTTTTGTCACAGCCTGGAGGAAGATAATCTCTAGAAAAGTGAAATTAAACATCTTTCATTTGTCAGTTAGATTAGATTGATGCTTTCAACTGTATTCCCTCCCTCATCCCTGCCACTTGCTTTCTCTTGTTTCACTTCCCACATCCACTAATTTTCTCTTCCCACAGCGTCCATTCTGTCAACACGCTCTCCATCACTTCCTCTCTTTTTCTCTGCGTCAACATTTCACTCCTACTTTCAGACTCCCTCCTTCCCCTTTCCTTTCCTCGCCCTCCATCTGTGCCTGTGGAGCAGTTTTTGCCATAGAATTAGATTCAATAGAATGGACACACCCTTGTCTAACAAATCAGTTGACCTGAACGGGGATGCCTGCTTTTTTTTTTTGTGCAGCCTAATTGCCATTTCTGTTTGTCTCCTTTGTCATATTTGTCCATAATCTTGCTCTGTTGTGTGTGTGTGTGTGTGTGTGTGTGTGAGAGAGTGTGTGTTCACCCAATTTGTTTCGCCTCTTTGATCACAGCAGGTAAGTATTATGTTTCAGGGAAAAACACAGAGAAGCAGTGGAAAAAAAAAGAGAAAAAGACGAAGGAATGCCTGGAATTCCAAAAGAAAGCTATACTGACAGTTTCTCTCTTTCTTCACCAAATCTCACACTCTCTATTTCTATCTTTTTAAGCCTGTTTTTAACCATGACATACAGGGTTTCCAGTCTCTTAGCTTACTGTCCTGCAAATAAATCAATGAAACAGAATAAGTCAACCTCAAATGTTAATGCTACTCATTTAATTTCTATAATCTAAGCAATGTTATTATAGTAAGGTGCACTTTGACATACATACTGTGTGATTCAGACTCTCTGTTCTATGTAGTAAGCCAGCACTGAATCCAATCATCTGAACAATAACCACTCTGTCTGTCTGTTTCTGGGGCTGCTTGTTCAATCTATCATCCACTGTACTCCAGGCGAGCCGTGTGACGTCAGCACCGGCGTGCGTGAATGTGTTTGTGTGTCTCTGTGTATGCAAGAGAGGGAGGGGGCAGTGTGTGTGTTTTAAAAAGGGGATGTATGGTGACTAGTATTGACAGCAGTCTCTTCAGTCTCATGCATGTTCAGGTATTTTCAAGACTTTATTAGAGTGCATATGCATGACTTGCTTTTTTAAAATGGAACACACATATTAGTGTGTTTGTTTGTGATAGAGAGAGAGAGAGACACACACAAAGTGAGAGCACAGTACCAGGAGGGTTTCTGTGTCCTTGCGTGTTGGCAGCTTTACGTGTATGTCAGGACAATCAGGCCTTTTGTAAACACAAGCGTGCGTGTCAGTGGAGGTGCAAATTGCAAAGTCGCCTGCATGTTTATAATTGCTTATTTAAGTACATTTCTGCACGTGTTTGTTAGTGTGGAGACAAAGATGCATGCATGTTTCTCTGCATGCATTGTATTTATCATTTCTATTTTTATCTAGCCTGTGTGTTTTTGTTTACTTGAACAATTTGTGCGTGTCTTATAGAGACAGTAAGTACTGGGCAGCGGCTGAGAAGTTTTGTGTTTGTGTGCAGAGAAAGTGCAGCAGCCAGTAGTTGTTGTACTTTTACTGCTGGCTGTGTTTTCATTCTCTTCAATTATTTAATCTAATACTCAAGGTGCTGGTTAGAAATAGACGTGTGTGTGTGTGTGTGTCTGTGTGTGTGTGTGTGTGTCTGTGTGTGTAGGGAGGTGTGTAAACGTTTCTCCTTTTTTAACAATACCTGAATCTCAATGAGGTTTGGTCTAAGGCTTTGCAGACTAATTACTTTTCAATAAAAATGGAATGAACAGATTTTTTTAATTTCACTGTTTAAACATAACATCAAAAACAACTTGTGATCTGGGAACTGGTGGCAAAGTTTTTACAGAGCCCTATCTTTACACCATTTCTGCTGTTGTTAGCTGGGGACTTCACAAGAGGCAAGAGGTCTAATTGTTTGTGTGGTAGATTTAAAGAAGCGTAACATCTGAAGCTACTGAGACCAGCTGTGAAAAATGTCTGGTGGTCCATCAGCTCAGCCCTCTCTCTCTCTCTCTCTGTGTGTCTGTGTGTGTCTTCAATGATATTAATCCAAACAGGCAGGTAAACACAGTTCCTGTTACACCTGGGTGACACTCTTCCCTTCGGGCCGAAGGTGGGATGACAGAGATAGAGAGATGAGACAGGGATGGAGAGATTGTCAGTCCTCTCTTCTCCTCTGCTATTCGGCAATCCTTCTTTTTTTCCTTTAAAGTCAAAGTTAGGGAGACAGAGAGAAGGAGACACAGACTGGCACATGAATATTTTCCACTTTGTGGACATCAGGCCTTCAGGTTAGTGTGTAAATCTGTGTTTCTTCTAGAAATGATGGAAATGTTTAAACCATTAGAAACAAGTTAAAAGCATTTTCACCTGCACCATAAATAATGAATTAGCTAATTTCTTTCTACTCAATCTTAACAAACTGACTGATCTATATAAAGAAAAACAAAGAGAGAAACTGTCAATTAAAAGTGTTATAAAAAATCTACATAATAAAAGCATTTTACAAAGTTTTTGTTCAACATAACAAACCTGATGAAACAATAAATTTGTCTCTAACTAACACCAACCAATTCAAAAAGATCACTGTCATGATGCCAAGCTATCAAAATGTCTTCCAATTCTCCCAAAAAATCCAGGTTGTGTCTTTGGCAACAGCACCTTTCTTCTGCAGTGAATGCTGGGTAGGCCCCTCTGTTTTATGATATTTGTATTTTGCAATAGTCGTACATTTTGAGGTTCTAGTCATTTAAGTCTGCTGAAAGTATTAACACAAAGTTTTCCTCTATAAAACCGTGTTTTGGTACACTG